GCAGAGGGCGCTTAGCCCTGGGCTAAGCGTTCGCGCATACTTCGTTAGCCCGAGCTAAGGTCTAGACCGCGTCTTAAATTCGGATCAGATTTAACCCGTACTTAGCATTCCTTAGCCCGTGCTAAGCGTTCACGCACGTTTTCTTAGCATGGGCTAAGGAATTTGACCTCTTAGCCCGTGCTAAGGAGCTGTGCGTGAACGCAACTACTGTAAATGCATTAACAATTCGCTGGTTTCAATTTTGCTATTTTCGCTGACAAGAAAAATCCGCTAAATTAAATCTTCATGAACATGTAAAATAATAATAAAACTTGTTGTTTTCTTGACAAATTTGTGAAATTGAAACAAAGTAAATACCCAGCATGCTCAAAACATAGATAGTGAAATTAAATGTCAGTGAAAATAAATGGTTTTACAGTACATCGTAACTTATAACTTATATGTGAAAATGAAATTCAGCTAAATTAAAGGTACATTTTCCAGGGTGGGGTCAGGTCAGTGTGTGTGGGTGATATTCACCTTTGAAGTAGATCAAACACTCAGTTTGATTGGAAAAACAAGCAGTTTAAAATAGGGAATTTAATTATATAGATTTCTCAACATAGACGAATAAAGTTTGTTATGTATATTTTATTTTCACTGAGTTGCATGCAAATTATAATGTAAAAATAAATAAATTCAAACAACTAAAAATAAAGTGAAAATGGAGTTAATTGACAATAAAATAACTTCTTATCACTTTACTTAGAACTCGTACATTGTATCTATATCCACAAAACCTGGCATTATGCGACTTTGAACCATTGTCCACAAAATATCACCGCATAGTACCGGACAATTAGATCATATCCACCTAACAACAGGACTATTTGCAACTACAACACCAATTGTTATTAAGTGGGTTCAGTGACATTTATTGCAACACCTTCGGTAGTTGTGTTCAACATGTGTATTTAAATTTAGATGCCTAAATCTATTGTATTGAGCGACAATTCTAAAAATATGCACTCCTCCCACATATCAGTAAGTCTATCATAAACCAATCAACCAATTGTTTCAGAATGGATCTTTAATTTAATTATTTTTTCAATTTCTAAAATTAGAAAGCCCATGTGCTACTTACAGAGTACAAATGTAGACATGAACAGTACTATACTGTACTGTAAAAATGTTAATTATTTCATTTTTCATCTTACATTTCATTGTTTTTTTTTCATCAATTTGCAAGTAAAGCAATGAGTTTTATTGTAAGTTTAAATGTCCAGAAGAATTTAACATTAAGTACATTTCATGTATCAGAAAAATAGCAAAATGGATTAAACCCAGGGAAAAATTAATGCATTTACATTAATTTTTCATTAAAAAAAAACAAAATATTACACCAAACTTTGGTGAAAAAATGTTGAACGAAGACAGAGCGATTACAGCAAAATTTGGTCCTATAGCAAAAACTTAAATGGTATATACAGGATCCTTTTGATACTATTAATTCATGTGGAATGATAAGTACTATTTAATATTTTTTGGATACTGCAAAACAATTTTGTTTATGCTATTATTCATTATACGTGTTTTACCACAGTACATGTATCAAAAATATTGAAAATAATATTCATAAATCCCCATGAACATACAGATATTTATTACCACTATTCAGATCACGCTTAAGAGGGCACATGATATATACACACGATGTAATGCCGATATTCTAACCTAATTTGTTTGCATATTATCGGTAAATTAAGATAATCAACAGAAGTTGAACAGCTGTACTAGCTGCCATGTATACATAAAAGACCACTAATTGATTACGTGAACTATGGCACAAAACGTTAACTGCCCCAATGATCTCTATCAGGAGTTGACAAAATATTCCGTCACATGTGTTGTAACTACAAAGTTATCCATGGCAAGACACATGACAGCCATTTTGCACCCATCACCTCATTACGCACCCTCACCCCCATATTGAACCCTGCACCTTATTACGCACCTCTTCATCAATTCCATTATGCACATTACCCTCATTATGTACCCTCACCCTCATTATGTACATGTCACCCCATTATGCACCCCTCACCAAATTGTGCACCTCTTCACCCCATTATGCATCTGTCATCTTATTAATCAAAATTAATTTTAACAAATAAATCCACATCAGTTTTCCCATATTTATTGAAAAAATTTGATCAAGACCTGAAGGCAATGTGAACCAATTTTAATTCAAAATTAATAACGAAATTAAAGAAATATACAGAATTACATGCATGTGCAAAATGTACAACCACCATTATAGCATCTGCTTAACATATCTTCTTTTTAACAATATGACATAAATACGGCACTATAG